GCCCTCGGGAAGCGTCCTCCACTAACCCCCACCTCAGCGACCCGCCGGGCCCCCGCCCCGCCCTCCAGGCCTCCAGAACGCTACACACGGGTGCAACCTAAATAGACATTTCCCAGACGCTGTGATTGGCTGGCACGCCAAAGGAAGCGGGACTCCCATCCGTCCCGCCTCCTCTAAGGCCATTCCACCAATTAGAAGTTGCACTGAGCCAGGGGCGCGGGTCTGTACTCGGCGTTGAGTGGCTATAGAGGCGGTCACTCCAAACGCTTTTGTTCGTAAAGAACACGCCTACTCTAGCAAGACTGGTTGAGAAGACTCAGGCGGCACCTTTCCCGGGAAACCTGTGGAGGCCCTGGCGTCACCGCACAGTTGCATCCCGGTTAGACACCGCGCGTGTAGAGATGCGTCGCCCCAGAGCCTAAGTCGTATTTGGGACACCCGGCCGAAATTCCTTTTGGCGTTTAATTTTATGTACTGACCCCTGTATTTCTCAAACTTTAAAAGCACTTAGAGAGGCCCCACTTTCCCACCTGATCCTCCAGCTTCTCTTTAAGAGAATCACAGTTGCCAAAGCGGTGGTGATTTTCCTTACTTACCTTATGGAGTAATTGAGAAATTGAAGCTTCTTTAATACATACAGAAAGCTTTAGAAAGGTATCTGACATACTAGATTGAATCCTATGAAACAAAGCTAGATCAAAAAGTGTGAGAAAAACAAAAGCACTTTCATTTTGTCCTCTTCATTTGTTTTTCCAAACTACATACATGTAGTACTTGAACTTTAACGTCATCAAAAGTATAAGGATGTGTGTGTGTGTGTGTGTGTGTGTGTGTGTGTGTGTGTGTGTGTGTGTGTGTGTGTGAGAGAGAGAGAGAGAGAGAGAGAGAGAGAGAGAGAGAGAGAGAGAGAGAATTTCAGCTTTCTGGGGGAGTTGTAGAGTTTTGTTTGTTTTATAGATATATGTCCCGACCGTGCAGTGGTGGCGAACACCTTTCATTCCCAGCACTCAGGAGGCAGAGGCAGGCGGATCTCTGTGAGTTCGAGACCAACCTGGTCTACAAGAGCTAGTTCTAGGACAGCCTCCAAAGCCACAGAGAAACTCTGTCTCAAAAAACCAAAAAAAAAAAGGCCCAGTCACTGCGAAGAGATGCACCATGACCGAGGCAACAACAACAACAACAAAAAAGCATTTAATTGGGGACTTGCTTACAGTTTCAGAGGTTTGGTCCATTATCATCATGGTGTGGGCTGGATGAGTAGCCTTAGAAAAAAACTGAGGCCTGGCATCTCAGATCATCAGAGACAAGGCTAGAAATGGGACCTTGGTCTGTTCCAGCCCAGAGCTCCTGGTATTACCAGTGTGCTACCCTGTGTGAAGCATATAACTTTTTGTTGAAGCTTCAAAAAATATGGACTGGGAATGAGGCTACCAAGAACAAAGTAAAAGGATTTATATGTACGGAAATATCATAATGAAACCCATTTTTGTGTGCACAGAAAGTTTAAAAAGCATTACATGACTAATATGATTGGAATTCTGTAGTATTCAGCAGACATTGTTAGAACTGTACTGTAGCATAAGTCTTGCTTTTCTGCAACAAACCTCTGGAAGACCAGGAAGCACCAGCCAGGGAGAGGAAATTGTTGCCTGGACCCATCAAAGAGGATGCCACCAAAATGATCCTTCAGGGTACTGTGGGCTTGGTGTGGAATTATCTTCATTTTTATTGCTTCAGTTCTTTTCTGCTGGTGGGAAAACCATGTAGGATTCTTCCCTGGGCTTCCTGCAGAGACAACAAATGACCCAAGGCCAAAGACACTGCCAGTAAATAAGTAAGTTGGGGAGCCCACTGAGGAACAGTACAAGGAAGTAGATCACACAGCAGGAGCTAAAATATAAGGTTGATGATCAGTAATAGTTCATTTTTGTAGAAGACTTCCTATGTGCTAGGAGCAGAGCTAATCAGCAAAATACTCTATTTAAAGTTCCTGGAAAGATGTTCAGGTAAGATAGACAGTTCTGAATCTCAAAAGAGAGAGGCAGGAATGAAAATAGATATGATGGGGGCTGGAGATAGCCCAGTGATTAAGAGCATTTAGTGCTGTTGCACAGGCCCTGAGTTCAATTTCCAGAACCCAAGTGGGACAGCTCAAACACCCTATAAATCCAGCTCCAGGGTATCTGATACCCTCTTGCTGGGCTCCTCAGGCACCTGCACTTACACACACACACACACAAAATTAAAAAATAAAATTGATGAGGTGGCTAAAGAGATGGTTCTATGGTTAAGAGCAATGGCTCCTCTTCCAGAGAACCTGGGTTCAATTCCCAGCACCTATTTTATCTCCCAACCATCTGTAAATCCAGTTCCAGGGTATCTAAATGTGGTGAACAGGTAAACATGGAGGCAAAAAAGCCCATACAAATAAAATTAGTAAGTAATATTTAAAAAAAATAAAATAGGGGCTGGAGAGATGGCTCAGTGGTTAAGCGCACTGACTGTTCTTCCAGAGTTCAATACCCAGCAACCACATGGTGGCTCACAACCGCCTTGAATGAGATCTGCATGCAGGCGGAAGACTGTATACATAATAAATAAATAAAATCTTTAAAAAAAATAAATAAAATAAAATAGGAGCTGGAGATATGGCACAGAAGGAAAGAGCTCTGCCTGTGCCAAGTATGATAGTACATGTCTTTAATCCCAGCACTGAGAAGAACAGGCAGGAGGATCTCTGTAAATTTGAGGCATGCCAGCTGAACTTAGAGTTCCAGCAAACACTAAACTAAAAGGAGGCCCCCCCCAAAAAAAAAAAAAAAAAAAAAAAAAAAAAAACAAAGTCAACCACCACAACAAAAAAGTTCTAGCTGCTCTTCCAGAATACTTAGGCTTGCTTTCCAGCACCCATATAATGGCTTACAACTATCTGTAACTCCATTTCCAGTGGATCCAATGTCCTCTTCTCACCAACTCAGGCACCAGGCAACACAAGTAGTACACAGACATGTGCAAGCGAAACACCTACACACATAAAAAATTTAATTATAAAGTATGTTTAAGGGGCTGGAGAGATGGCTTAGCAGTTACGAACACTGATTCCTCTTCCAGAGGACCTGGAGCCATTCCCAGTACCCACATGACAGCTAACAATGGTCTGTAACTCCAACATTTGACACTCTCACACAGACATACATGCAGGCAAAACACCAATGCACATAAAATAAGAAAATAATTTTTAAAAGATCTTTAAAAAATAGATATGGCCATTTGTTGTGGAATATTATTTTAACTATATAAAGATGTGTTACATTTGTTTATGCTGAGGAATATTACTTTAACCGTGTAAAGATGTGTTACATTTGTTGACAGTGCATTTGTTTAACAATGTAAAGTTGTGTGTTTACTTATGTAGAGATGTGTTGTATTTGTTTCACCTTGCCTACCTAAGGCACCTGATGTATTTAATAAAGAACTGAATGGCCAGTGACTAGGCAGAGAAAGGATAGGCGGGGCTGGCAGGCAGAGAGAATAAATAGGAGGAGGAATCCAGGCTTGGGGAAAGACAAAAGAAGAAAGAGGAGAGAAGGACAAGGAGAGAACAAGGGACACGCCAGGGGCAAGAAGCTAGGCAGCTGCCAGCCAGACACAAGAAGCAGTGAAAGTAAAAACCCTGAGGCAAAAGGTAGATAACAGACAAAAACAACAACAAAAACAGGTTAATTTAAGTTATAAGAGTTAGCCAGGGGGCTGGAGAGATGGCTCAGAGGTTAAGAGCACCGACTGCTCTTCCAGAGGTCCTGAGTTCAATTCCCAGCAACCACATGCTGGCTCACAACCTTCTGTTTTGTTCTGGTGCCCTCTTCTAGTGTCCAGATATACATGGAAGCAGAATGTTGTATACATAATAAATAAATAAGATGTTTAAAAAAAAAAAAAGAGTTAGCCAGAAAGGAGCCTAAGCTAGGCCGGGCAGAGTATTTATTTATGTATTTTTTGGTTTTTCGAGACAGGATTTCTCTGTGTAGCATTGGAGCCTATCCCGGCACTCGCTCTGGAGACCAGGCTGGCCTGGAACTCACAGAGATCTACCTGCCTCTGCCTCCCAAGTGCTGGGATTAAAGGTGTGCACCACCAATCAGGCAGAGCATTTATAACTAATAAATCTGTGTGTCATGATTTGGGAGCTGGCTGGTGGCCTAAAAGAAAAAGCCTGCTACAGCCATTCTCTTGGTGGCACACACCTTTCATTCCAGCGCTCAGGAGGCAGAGGCAGGTGGATCTTACGAGTTCCAGCCAGGGCTACATAACGAGACTTAGATAACAAAGGTTCACACAGAATCCTTTCAGTGGAAACTCATAAAAGAATATATTTTGTGAGGCTGGTGATATAGCTCTTAATTCTGTCCTTGCTTGGCATGCACAAAGTCCTAGGCCCATGGTGATGCAACCCTATGATCTTAGGACTCAAAGTGAAAACAGGAGGTTCACGAGTTTAGGGTCATCCTCCACCATGTAGTGAATTTGACATGCTCCAGTCCTTGTATTTCTAGTGACCAGTTTGCATTTTTTAAAATGACATGTTGTGGTTTACACCTTTCTAAAAGTAACCTATATACATCTTTTAAAAACTGAAGCCAGGTTCAGTGGTACACATATGTAATTCTATCCCTCAAAAGGCTGAGACACTAAAGACTGCAGGAGTTTTGAGGCCAGCCTGTACTACATAGCAAGAAACTGTCTCCACAATGGGAGAGGGAAGGAAATGGGTTGGCGAAATCTGGGGAGAGGAGTGAGGAGTTGGCGCTGGATATGATATCAAATACATTGTTTACATGTATGAAATTGTCAAAGAGTAAATGTAAAAAGAATCTTTTAAAAAAGATTCCAGTTTTGGAG